CTCTTCCCCCCTCCCCTTTCTCTAAGGATGGGTATATAAAAAAAAAGCCGTCGCCGTCGCCGTCGCCGTCGCCTCGTCGTCGTCGTCGTCGTCGTCGTCGTCGGTCGTCGTCGTTGTCGTCGTCGTCGCCGTCGTCGTCGTCGTCGCGGCCGTCGTCGTCGTCGTCGTCGTCGTCGTCGTCGCCGCCGCCGTCGTCGCCGCCGCCGCCGCCGCCGCCGCCGCCCAATCTACATGTCCGGAGCAGCGGCCCTCGCCGAGAGCTGTCCAGGGGCCGCCTTGGATCGTCCCCCCCTGTCGCTTAGCTTCGGCTTCAGGTCCCCCGGTCAGGCCCGCCTTCCTCTTTTACCACCCTCTGGATTAAAAAGTTGTGACCGGCACTATGCGAGAGAGCGATCCCCGCGGGTTTCGCCAGTCGACTGGCCCTCGAGCCTCCACCATCGATCAACCCCGAGATGACTCCAAGGCAGGCCCGTGAACCGAATGACGGAACGGCTCCGCAGGGCGTGGAGCTCTGCAGCACAAAGTTATGGAAATCATCGCACACGAAATCTTTGTCTTCTGGCGGCATGGAAGGCAACCTGCAAGTGCTGTTTGAGGACGTCTTAAGCGAAACGACCACTCTAAGGCGGCATGAACATCGATCTGAAACTTTGTGAGGAAATCCTAGGCAAAATCGCCACTTTCAGACGGCATGGGAGAATTTCAGATCGCCCTGGAAGGCGATCTGAATTTTTTTTGCAAGAAGTCCCAAGCGGAATGCCACTTTTAGACGCCGGCCCCATTTGGCCTTTATAATATTAAAAGGGGTGAGGTATGCGTCTGAAACTCCCAATTCGGCATCAAATCCAACATTGTCCTGGGCCCCATGGCCTAACGGGTGGCCAACGGCGTCTCTCTCTCTCTCTCTCCCTCTCAAACCCCGCCGTCCCAACTTTTTAATCCAGCGGGTTGTAGGTTTCCCGTTTCAGGCCCATCCCCCTCCCTCCTCCCCCTCCCCCTCCCTCTTCCCGATCTCTCCCTCTCTCTCTCTCTCCCTCTCTCTCTCTGCCTCTGCTTTCCTCCTCCTTCCTCCTTCGCCGGTCGTCGTCCTCGTTTTCGTCCTCGTCTTCGTCCTTGGCCCTCGTCGTCGTCGTCGTCGTCGTCAGTCGTCGTCGTCGCCGCCGTCGTCGTCGTCGTCGTCGTCGTCGTCGTCGTCGTCGTCGTCGTCGTCGTCCTTTGAACGGGGCTCCTCTGGAACATAGGCGGAGGACAGACGTTGCTTTTAAGTCCTCATTTCAGGTATCCCCCCAGGACGTTGCTGCCGGAGATCCGCTTCAACTTTCTGCCCTCTTCCCCCACCCCCACCCCGGTGAGGACCATCATAGGCCTCACTAGTGAGGACCATCATAGGCCTCACACCCCTTGCGGCTGCCATCATAGGGGCCGCTTGGGTCGCCCTCTCCCACCAATACACCAATACTTTACGGCGTCAATAGCCAATGGAGGGGGCCGAGGACCTCCCTGCAGCCCCTCGGCCAACGAAGACGGCTGCAGGGAGGGGTCCAAACGTACCTCCACCTTCATGCACCAATCAACCAATACACCAGTAAACCAATTCCTCATATTCCTCTCGCCCTCTCCTTCCTTCTCCATCACTTTCTTCGGCGACGAGTCCCAGCGGCTGACAGGCGGGAGGAGGTGGGGGACGTGCAGAAGGAAGGGATGAGAAGACGGTGCATATCGGGGGAGTGGGGGAATGCTGATGGGAGAGGCGGGCGGGACAGTAGAAACAAATGATGATTGGGTGAGGCTGGTGGCTCAACGCGAGGTCGACTTCAAGCGCGCCACGGCATGTAGGGTGGGAGCTGGAAGCTTGAGACCCCCCTGTAGACGGGCCGCGGGGGTCTCGTCGTCACCCGCTTCATCCTCGTCCCTCCACTCCTCCTCCTCCTCCTCCGCCCCCTTCCTGCCCCTGCTCCTCGAGCCTCCTCTCTCCCTCTTCCTGTCCCCCCCTACCCCTGCTCCTGCTCTTGCGCTCTTGAGCTCCTCAGCGAGCATCCCGACTACGCAAGATGCCCGCCCTGGCCAGGGGCTCAAGCACCTCCTTCGAGCTTCCTCGCCTCCAGGCACACGGGGATTGCCACCGGGCTGGCACGGTTCGAAGGGTCCTAACCCTGCTTCAAACCCTTCAGCGTTATACGCTTCCACTCAGTATTCGGCTCCTCTCCTCTTCTCCTCGGGCCTCCTCCTCCTTCTCCTTCGCCTCCCCCTCCTCGGTGTGGATTGGCACGGCCACATGAGTAGTGACCTGGCCTCGCCACGCCGCCGCGCTCGGCACTGCACGGACTGGACACCGCAGAGCCCACCGACAGACACTTCTTCGACCCCCCTCTTCAAGGTTGCTGGGGGTTGCTCCACGCTCATATCAAAGAGGGGGTCGGGGGGGTGGGGCATCCTCAATGCAAGCTCGCTGGGTGGGCCAGGCCTCGGAAGAAGTTAGCGAACACGCATGCCACACTGATGTGTCAATGTCCCCCGCCCCCCCCCAATGAGCAACGTTGGCAGTGGGCTGGATGAGTTGTGCATCGTAATCTTCCCCCGCGCGTGCCACCTTTGAGTTTCGAGGGGCGGGGGAGTGTCCAGTGAATGTTTCCCTCCACCGGCTCTCCTGGCAATGGTAAAGAGTCATGTGGTTCGCTTGCATATTTTCCATGTGCGGAATGTGTTGCGTCGGCAGCCTGTTGGGGCCTCATCCAGCAGCATGACGATAACGCTTTGCAATGACATTGCCGCAACAAGCGTAAAATAAGCCGGGTTGAACGTGCAGCCTTGCGAGACGCCTGCTAGTTGCGGTCTCGGGTCCGACGTACCTGGCCCATACGGACTTCAGCTGTGAAGCGATCCGTACCTGCTTGCGCTCCGTGGCGTCAGGAATGCTGGTCTCGAAACGCTTCATCGGCAAAGAAGCCAGATACCCGGAAGATAAGAGTACAAGCTTGCGCGCGGTGGCTGGAACGAGGCTGCGCCCGTGGCTGCCGCGCGTTGCATCGATGCTGAGTCCAACAGGGGTACTTGAACACAGACGGGGTATGCGGATCAACAAAATGAGAGGTATGGGGGAGGAGATAAGGAGAGGGAGAGGGGGCGAGGGAGGGAAGGAAGGTTTGGAGGGGAGGGTCAGGGGGGGAGGAGACGGACGAGGTGCGCGGAGCGGTGAAGCCAAGGCTCTGTGGGGACATCTTCTGCGCCCAGTGAAGCCTCGTGCCCTCTTCAACTGCCACCTTTGCGTCCACTGCCAGAGGCCCCGACCCCCACCTCCCAGTCAGCGTTGCAGCCGACGAGGCGGTCCACAAGGTAGCTAATGAGCCAGCCAACGAGGCACCCCACGAGGCAGCCAGCTCGGATCTCATATCCTGTGTGCTACGAGCTTGAAACAAACCTAGCTTGTGCACTGGTTCGATTGTACTTTCTATCTACCGTATGTCCGAATGCGTCAATGCAGACATTATCCCTCTCATCGCTGCATCCGATGCCGATTTTTGCGATTTCTTGGCTGCCGTTTCGACCGCGACCTGTTCGTACGGCATGGCGCTGCTTTAGCCGACATTTCACATCGTCCAATTCGCACTCGCGGGGTCATCGAACTTCCGAACAATTCAGCACTAACTACTCGCGGGTATGCTGCCGACATGTTCTAAGCCAGCGCCAGCGACGCTGCTGCCAACAACGCATTTTCTGCACCAGCAACTCAAGCTGTTTAAACGAACGCGTCATTCTGAAACGTACCATCCTCTACGAACACGTGCCAGCTAGGGCCCCAAACGTTCCGTGCCGCTCACGCCACGTTGGCGGTCCATGCAAAGAGTACGTTCCTGAAAAGCTGAAGCACAACTGTCGAAAGCCTCAGGTCCCCCTTCCCTGAAGACCCTCGTCCTCATGGCAGTGTGGCAGCTCCCGAGGGGAGAGGATGCTGGGGGGGGGAGGCAGGGAGTGCATCGGCTACACGCAGGAATGACCCTGGGCACGAGTGACCTGTGGTGCGCTGCCGGCCGACCGATCGTTGCATGGGATGCGACAGCAGCGGCCTGCGTGCCCGGGCTCAGGTCGGGCATGCCCTCCCACAGGCGGATTTTGGACGAAAGCAAACACTCAAAACATACTCAAAAATAGCCACAAGGTAATGCAGACATCGTCCCCACGTGATTTTTTGACTGCTTTTGAGTCTTCCTCCTGGAGAGGGACGGGCCCGACTTGAGCCTGGGCTTGGCCCCCCTTTCGAGCCTTTCCAGCGCGGCTCTGTGCCTCCGCGCGGGGGCGCAGCCGTGGCGGTCTTTGCCGCATCGGCGGCGCGCGGCGGCCCCGCCGCGGCCGCGCACAGATGACCCCAGGAGAGGCCTGCAGAGGCCGACACAAAAAGCCAGGGCCAGGGCGGCCCAACGAGGGCCGAAGGGGCACGAGGTCCCGAGGGCCCAGGGCACCAAGCCCGCGCCCCCCGAGAGAGAGAGAGCCGCCGCGCACCCCCCCCCCTGCGAAGGGCCGCTCCCGTGCGGCACGACAGGCCCCTGCACTCCTTCCCCCGCCGGAGCTCCGCGGCGGCACGTGGCGTGGAGCGCGGCGGCGCCTGGGGCGATGGCACGCTCTCGTTGCGAGGGGCAGGGACAGGGGGGGGGGTCGATGCATCCCCCCCATGCCTGCCCCCCCCTATCGTTGCCCCTGACGTCGGCACCCGCCAACGCAGCACACAAACAGCCTCAGGGCCGGCTCGTACCCGAGGGGGCAGCGGGCGAGAACACGCCAGGGTACAGCACAGACGGCAGCACGGACGGGAGGAGTAGGCCGAGGAGAGCGGGGCAGAGCAGGGGCGGGGGGCGAGGCTGCCGCCGCGGGCCACACAGACAGGCAGAGGGAGCGCGCTTCTTTCGACACCCTGCGCGCAGCCGAGGGGCAAGGCCACGGTGGCCCCGCTGCCCCCCCCCCCGCGCTAGCCCGGACCTCCCCTCCCCCCCCCCCCTCGCGCCCACCTGAGCGGGGCTCCGCGAGCGCGCCCAGCAGGAGCCGCAGGCCGCCGGTGCCGCGCCAGCTGTCGCCGAGCTGCGCCGCCAGGTGGCTGCGCAGCAGCGCGCCCTGGGGAGGCCCAGCGGCTCGGAGGAGGGATGGCCGGGTGGCCGCCACTGCAGCACACAGGGCAGGCCCGACCACCAGAAGCCTTCCACAAGGACCCCGACCCCGAGGCCCCAGGACGCCCACTGATCTCTGGTGTTGGGGCGTCACGCCTTCCACAGCAGAGCCATCGAGACCCAAGAAGCCCAGGGCACCCTGGAGGCAGGCAGGGTGTTTCTTGGCATGGGCCTCCACTGTACACATGCGATGCGTTAAGGCACCGCGCTGTAAGAAATCTAGGTTCCTGAGGTGCCCCAATTCCTCTGCGGGTCCCCAGGGTCGTCGGGGGACAAGAGACTTCCGCATGGCACCTGCTGGCAGGCTGGTTCGTTACCTGATGCACTTCCTGTGTCGCGAAACGGCCGAGCCATGGCGGAAGGCGACCTCACCCTTCGCGCCTGCGCAGCACGGGCCGTCTCGAGATGCAGGGCTCCCCGGAGGTGCGGGGGGCCTTTGTTGCAGGCTTTGGCCACAGGCCTGGGCGGATCCTCTTCAAATGACCTTCTCCCGTCGGAGCGGGAGGGCGGGAGGGGAGGAGGGCGAGGAGGAGGGGGCAGGTGGAAGGTTGATGTGAGCGCGGGGGCACTCATTCGACAACGGCGCTGTTCGCAGGAGGCGAGGGCTGGGACCACGACAGCTGGGCTGAGGCGCTGGAGGCGGGGGCCCCGGAGCCCCAGCTCCGGCCGAGATCGGCGCAGATCCCCAACACACGCCGCCCATAGCATCCCCTCTGTGATGGAAGTGTGAAGAACTGTCGGCCAACGCCCGTGCGCGCGAGAAGGAATCCTCTACGAGCGGTCGCTTGCTCTGCCGAGGCGGGAGGAAGGCGAACACGCGGAAAGGCGGCGGCCGGAGCGCTCGAGAGACTGGGCAGAGAGCCAGGAACCACGTGGACGAGACGGTCCGACGGGATCCGCGTGGTCGTGGGGCCATGACCCCCGCACTTTCTGGTGGGTTCGTTTGTTCGCTGTGCCCACAGTGCAGCCCTGCTGCTCCCTTCACTCGCGTCAGCAATAGCGGGGGCATGCCGAAAAATGCGGTACGTCCTCGCCCTTTTCCGAATTTCTACAAACCACAAGGGAAGAGGGAACGAAGGAGGAAAGGGGGATCGGACCCAATGCAGGAGCACTTGCGTGCAAACTTGTCCCTCGGATCCCGCTGTGACTGGTGTGTGCGGGCAAGTGCTATGCACCAGTGGCACAATGACTTTTGAACACATGGGCGTACACTAATAGCAAACGCCTGCAAAGTCGTTGCAAATGCGGACGAAGATCAGCAATAAACGAAATTCACAAAGCTAAGGTTCCTCCCAACACCGTTCACCATCGCATGCCAACAGTCGGCAAAGTGCAGTCTCTTCCGCGTCTGGCACACCATCAGCGCAAGCGTCCACGTTCCTCCACGCCCTCATCTGTATGAAGACGACACTACCCCACTCCACTGTATCAGAAAGCATCCGTGTGCTTAGCTCCAGTCTGCTATCAACGGCGCAAACACTTGGCATGCCATTGGCAACACAAACCAACAATCTAAACACACATCCCCACATCACATCGCTGGCCCTTGCAACGCAACTGCCAATAGCCACGTGCGGAATGTCCTGGAGGCAAACGGCTGGATGTTTCGAACATGTGCGTGTGTGTGTGTGTGTGTGTGTGTGTGTGTGTGTGTGTCTCTCTCTCTCTCTCTCTTTTTTTTTTTTTTTTTTGTTTTTTTTGTTTTTTTTCTCTATCTCTCTCTATGTATATACATACACAAGACTTGGGATGTATGAAGGACTTGCGTCGCTTCGTCTCAAATCTTGCTCCTGCGTCCAAGCACTGTTCGGGGACTGCCGAAAGACCCATGGGAGCGGAAAAACAATGACCAGGAAACGGGTGCGGGTCATGGGCCGGATGGAGCCTATAGGGATGTTCATGCCATGGGGGAACGACACGATTGCGACGGGGGCCGAAGGTGAGGATCTCGATGCTGGGGTTAACTCTGACCCCAACATGGGTGACGGTTATGACTTCGAGGATGTGTACTCCGTGACCGCCAGCGGGCTGAAGGTCATGGTAAAACGGGGCCAGAGCAATGAAATCGAAGCCGTCGAACGGGAACAACAACGGAAAATATGACCGCGAGGGCGATGAAGGTCATGATCCGAGAGGGTTCCAATCATGCCGTTGATGGAAATAACATGGCCGTACCATCGGTCTCAAATCATGACCGAGATGGGGCTGTCGGCAATACGGGGAAAAGTGGGTCACGGTGAATGCCCATCCCCCCCTATTGTTGCCCCTGAGGGGGGAGCAGATCCTGCACCCCGCATTCTGACCTGCGCGAATCGCCTGGCACTCCCGCCCGCAATGCATGAGGTCTCGAATGAGACACACGCACAGCACAAATACAGGCTCGGAGTGCCGAGGCTATGCACCTTGCCAAAATGGTGGGTAAACTTGTGCACTCGTGTGGGTGCCCACCGATCTCAGACTGTCCCTCTGCGCTGGAGCCGCACACATGTTTCAACATTATATCTGCATGCGTTGCCCCTTTCCCCGCCATTTTGCGTGCACGAAGAGACTCGTGCCATACACCGGCGAGTCAGCAAACTCTGCCACCTCGCAAGCACAACAGACGTACGTTCAACGCAAGCGTGCACATACCTGCACCTCGCTCAAAAAAAAAGGAAATAGGCTGAGACTAGAAGACGAGAGAGAAAGAGAGAGAGAAAGAGAGAGGTAGGGACAGAGAGAAGAGGCATACACGTATGCACACACTACCCTTCCTGTCTTTTAACAAGCCCGGAGGGGGGGGTGACGGAGGAACCGCCCCCCCCAAAACAGCAGCACACAGCAAAACGCCGAACCCACAGGATCTGGGGCCTCGAGGCCCCCAAGCCCTGCCGCGGGGCGCCCTGCCGGGTCCTGCCCAGCAGACCCCAAGCGATCAGGAAAGCCTGGTCGAAGAGGCGCGGGCGAGCCCCAAGATAGCGCAAGACGGCCCGAAGGCGGCCCACGATGTCCCCAAGACTGCCCAGGAGGCCCCCCAGGAGGTCTTCCGGGGTGCCCCCAGGGAGGCGACCATCTTCCAATTCTCTGGGAGAAGCGCCATTTATTCATTTATATGTACAAATGTAACGTTTTCCGCATGTTCGCTCTTTGTGCCGTAGCAGCGTTCACGACGGTCCAAGAGGCCTTCGGGATCGCCCCAAGACGGCCCGAAAGATCCCCGAAAGGTGCTGGTCGAAACAGACCAAGAAGGCCCCAAGACTGCCCCAAAACGGCCCAGAAGAAGCTCACGAGGCGCCCAAAGGCTCCCAAGAGAAAGACCCACGAAGGCCATGGGAGGTCCCCAGGAGGGCCCAAGATGGTCCCAAAAACGCTCGTAGAGGGCATAAATCCCCCAAGAAGGCCCCAACACGGCCCAAGAGGGACCCAGGACGGCCCGACCAACAAATTCTCCAATGAGGAGCCTCCGCAAAAAAACCTGTGGCAGACAGGGAATAGTTCGCAACGCCAGGCGAGATCGAAGATGAATGAGAAGACCGATGTGGAACGATAGGGCGTTGCTTTTCATTGCTTTGAATTGCGAGACCGGGAAACTTGGGTCACGAACGAGCCCGTGTGGTGGCCACGCGAATGACCCCGAACGTCATTCCTTTGCATGGTCGTGCGTCTTCCAGAAGGCGTGTTCCTATGAAACACACCAAACTGACCCGAATTCCCGGTTCGTAATTATATTCCCCAACGTCCGTGGCGAACCTGGCTTTCGGTGTATTTCAAATGCCAAGCAGCATTGCTTGCCCTTGCACTGCTTGGTGCTGTGCGACATTGCTTGGTAATGCGTTGCTTGTTTAGCACTAGTTCGCATGGCTTACTATTGCTTCGCATTGCGCACCCGGACAGCCGGGGCCACGAGCGGGCCAGTGTGTGGGCCACGCGAGGGCTCTCCACGTTATTCGAGGGAGCATTTTCTTCCATGGTCACACCATATGGTTGCCACTACATAGCTCACATCACATAGTTTAGACCGCAGGGCTTTCACCGCCAGAATTCAACACCTCACTCCTCGGGGTCTACGATGGCTCATACTTGTTGGCTTGATGCCGTTGGGAGCCATTGGGAACCGCCAGGCTTCTTGGAGCTTCTGCGGTCTCCGGAAAATTTGGTTCGAAGTCGGCCTCCAAGAACCGCTGCAATTCGGAGGGGCTGAAAACATAGGCACGCCATTTTGGTTCAACGTTTTTTCAAGCCTACAGGTAGCGTCCTCGTCGCCACGTCATCGGGCCCGCCTCGACATTCGAATCAAAACGCATTCCAAGAAAAATTCGGGTGGCGCATGGCGAAAACAAATGAGGAACGGGTAAGGGGACTTGAAAGGAACCGGACAAATTGCAAAGGCCAAAGAGGATAACGCCAAGTGCCGACATATGCGAAGCTTGACGGACCAAGGTGCGTGGCGCGAAGTGCCAACGCAATCTTGTATGTTTATCCGAAAATGGGGTTGCGATCGCAGTGGAGCGGAGAGCCCCCCACCGGCAAATCGGTTTCGATTTCGTGTTCGTGTCGTGCGTGCGGGCGAGGCGAAACTGCGTGGGCGCGCAACAGGAATGATGCCGCCGTGGCTAGGGGCCGTGGAGCCGTTTGATCGCCCCCCACCCGAGTGGGCGCGCGGGTGCCCGGGGTGCCCCGTCGGTGGCGCGGGGGTGCCCCGTCGATGGCGCGGGGTGCCCCGTCGGTGGCGCGGGGTGTCCCGACAGTGGCTCCAAGTGTCCCGCCGTGGTGTCTCGATGGTAGCTCGTGAGTTCAGTTATGAGATCGAGAATGGTACCGATACTGAGATCGATTGCGTGATCGGTCGTGATCGTGAGGTCGACCGTGAGATAGAGAGATCGATCGTGAAACCGGCAATGATATCGATCACAGCAGATCTCTGGCTGGGAGTGCCCCGCCATGGGTGTGGGTGCCCCATCGTGATGTCGCGATGGTGTCTCGCGAAATGTTTTGTGAAGTCAATAGTGAGATCTCTTGCGATATCGATATCGAGATCGGTAGTGCGATCGAACTCGAGAGCGATCGTGAGATCGATGGTGAGATCGATTGTGAGGTTCGCTGTGAGATCGATCGTGGAATCTGGTGTGAGACCGACAATGAAGTCGATAGTGCGATCATAGTAAGATCGATCGGGTTCCGATAATGCCCCGATATTGCACCGCTGGCATCCCGATCGCACTGAACAACACTCGCTGTGAGATCTGTTGTGAGATCGGTCGAAGAGTCCATCATGATATCGATAGTGAGGTATATTGTGAGAGCGATAGTCAGATCGATAGTGAGATCGATCATGAGATCGATAGTGAGATCGATAATGAGAGCGATAGTGCAAGCGGTAATGAGATCAGTCGATTTGGAATCGAATGCGAGGCCGCATCTATGTGGTGTGAGCTCCATCGCGGCTGCGTCGCCTTCATTACAATCACCATGATTCATTATCACCATGAGCGTCATTGTAAAAATATCTTCGCCATCACAGTCATCACATTTGTTGTCCGTGGGTTTTCCTTTCCCGAACTCCTTATCATCCAAAGGGTGGTCGTATAGGTATGATGTATCATGGTCGTACGCGCGTTTGGATCTGTAAGTCTTGCGGGTTCTTCGGGTCCGGGCAATTACGAAGCCTAGCGAGTCCACGCAAGCCCCTCCACATCGCTGAGGCGAGGAGGAAGTATCCCTCGCGATTCGAGCGGGGCCTGGCTCCCAAGTGGGTCATGCTGCTTGCTTGGCGAGCGCTCCTCCTCCACCTCCTCCTCCTCCTCCGCTTCCTCCTCCTCCTCCTCCTCCGCTTCCTCCTCCTCCTCCGCTTCCTCCCAACATTCTCCTCCTCCTCCTCCTCCTTCTCCTCCTCCTCCTCCTTCGCTTCCTCTTCCTCTCCCTCCTCCTCCTCCTCCTCCTCCTCCGCTTCCTCCCAACATTCTGGCGTTGCTGCCCCGCGTTGGCTGGTGCGGCTCTCTGCACACAATAAAGAGGCTGCGACCAACTGCCCTGCCCGGGCCTGGTCGCATCACCCGGGTGCCGCGGACTGCCCTGTTTCCCCCCCCCCCACGAAAAAGAAGTACAGAGAGAGAGAGAGAGAGCGAAACAAAAAAAAGAGAGAGGGAGAGAGAGAGAGATACATAGAAAGAGAGAGAGAGAGAGAGAGAGAGAGAACGAGAAGCGAGAGAGAGAGAGAGGGAGGGGAGAGGGGGAGCGAGAAGAGAGGGGGGAAGAGGGAGAGATAGAGAAAGAGAGAGAGAGAGGACGAAAGAGAGAGAGAGAGAGAGAAAGAGAGAGAGAGAGAGATAGCAGAAGAGAGAGGGAGGACTATGCAAGCAATGACTGGTGGGTATGCCATGTAGAGTCACCCATAGCTGCAATAGCCGAGCCTTCACGCATGAATCCACCGATCCTGTCGGCGTGTGCGATCGGCTTCCCGCCGCCCTCCCCTCCCTTGCCGTCCACACCTTTTTATTCGTGAGACGCCTCCCGTGGAGACTTTCTCTTTTCAGCATTCCTTCGAGCTGGCCCGAAGAATCGGAAAACGCCGTCAGAGGACGAAGCGGCATGAACGACGCCCCCTCCCCGTGGCCCCCTCGCCCCCAGGTGGAGGATCCTGGGGGGAGAGGGAAGGTCCGGGCCTCAGGGGGGTCCTTGAAGGGAGCCGCCCCCCAGGAGGAGGAGAATGAGGAGGAGGAGGAGGAGGAGGAGGAGGAGGAGGAGGAGGAGGAGGAGGAAGGACAATAGGGAGGAGAGACGAAGGAATAGCTGGAGGAGCAGGGGGTCCTTGGAAGGGAGCCGCCCCCCCCCCCCCCTCGTTGGCTGCTCTTCCCCCGCTCTGGCCGCGTGGCTCAGAGTCAGCGCCTCCAGCATGCCCTATGGGGGTCCTGCAGTCATCGGCCTGACCTAAGTTAGGAGGCTACTACTGGGAGGTCTTCGTCGGGAGGATTAAGGAGGATTGCGCCCCATTGGGGGGCTGTTACGCCAGAGTGGGCCTCGGATTAAGCGGGATTGAGCCGGATTAAGCGGAATTAAGAAGGATTAAGCCGGAGTAGGCAGGATTAAGTTGGATTTCGGACCAAAGTAATATCAGAATTTGACCTTCCAAGAGTTGCATCCAAACCTGAGGAACACTGCATACGGAACGAAGCCCCTTCTTTTCCAAGGAATAACGCATAAAGATCGATACATAAGAAACAACGCATAAAGAACCGTACATAACGCATGCAAGATAAGGAACGACCGAACCCCTTTTGAAAAATAAGCGTTCCTTATTCAAGCCGCTTGCTGTGTGGGCTGGCCCAAGAAGCCCAAAAACCGTCCAACACACGTGGGCTCCTGTGCGACTTTTGCGTTCTCGCTTCTTTGGGTGTGGCCCCGAGATGGCTGGCCTCCCAGACCGCGAGCAAGCCCCCCACGGCGCCCCCAAGAACCACCAACAATATCTCCCTAAAAGACTGCGACGAGACCTCCTAAACCAACAGTGGAATCATGATGGCGGGATGGGCCGAAAGCCACTGCCTCTTCCCCACCCTCCGCCTCTTGCATCCGAACTGTTCTCTGTTCAAGGTCGCCGGAACCCGCCGTAAAGCTCTGCACCAACATCCGACACATGTGAGTCTACATGGCAATGCATCGCTCACGCGAAATGAGCAGAATGCCTCCTCCGCCGAGGCTGCTAGCAAGGTCGCCGTCTTTGCTGCCTCGACATCGCCGCTGTTCCCTTCGGCCACGCTGGACCCCCCTCCCGCTGCTACTTGAAACTCTGACCATAATGTGGCTCGTAGATGGCGTCGCTTGTCCATTGAGGAACCATGATCGTCAACCATCTTTTTTATCCTGACAATTATCATCGTCATCATTCCCCTCAAAGACATCACACTCTGTCCTTGCCTTCTGCGAAACTTTCCGATATGGCCATGCCGTCCGCCGTATACAATTTTGACGCGTTGGCAAGTACCCTGGCCTGTGCAAGCCAGTGAATGGCCACGATGCCCACATACAACGCCCTCACCATCTACGAATCCCTGTCATTTGAAACATTTCCACAGGGCATGAGCATCACTATGAATAGTTTCTCGACGCACGGGAACAGGAATCTGCGTTCGTCCTTCCAAGGCATGCCCATTTCACTTTTAAAACGATCGGGGGTCACACTCAATATTCGGAATGCTCCTTCCTCCAGGACAGAGCTCCAACTACCCCGCCATCTGCAACACTATACAATCGAATTCATGTTACTTTCCGTTCCCTGCGACGTTTGCGGTCCTGCCACCGCCATGGCAAACCATGGTCGAACCTGGAGCCATAATGCTAGAAGGCGGCACGGTAAGAAGAACTGGCAATATCGATCTATCACCCAACTCACGACATGCTCCATCTTCTTATTGTGAGGGGGGGATGTCACAGATTAGCGCCCCCTGTTGGTCCATGCGCTCTGAACAACTCCTAATTTGTCGGTCCCTCTTATGGGTTCTTATGCGGTTCCCTTTTTCTTGGCGCCGCCCTCTGGTTGCCCAGTCGCTGGGGCGGACGTGAAAGAAAATGGCTTCTGACTCCAATCTTTGTGATCGTCGGTTCGAGAGTCTCCGGGGCACACAAGCAACACACCGCGAGGCAGGGGGAAACGGGGACGCGAACTGGGGCGAGGCAAGGACGCAAAACTAGAGAAGCTGATAGCCAGAGCGGTAGATCTTGCTAGTGATCTCATCCTGTAGTATTGCAAGACACTGTGACGGCCCAATACCAGTACACACTACATACACATGCAGACATATGCAAATCTATGGTGAGGATATAAAGGTAGAGGGAGGTACACACCAAACGCGTCTATACATTTGGACAGATACACATTTGCAACATATGCACATCTACACATGTCCATGTGATTATATTTGTATACAAATGACGTGGTCAAATCCGTTCTTACGTGACGTATACGTGTGCATACTTGTATGTATTCATCTACATTTATATGTATAATATACTGCAGTGCCACTACTCGACATGCATCTCGTTCTTTTTTTATGGTTTTCAGCGATTCGCATGCATGCAGGACAATCCACATTTGCACATGCATGTGCAAGATGCTTCTGGAAAGAGAGAGAGAGAGAGACGAGATACCACTACTCGTACTATAGCACTGTTGCACTTTTCGCCATTGTCGTGCTGCTGCCCGTCTTCTTTCGTATCCCTTTGAGAGATCATGCTCCTTTTGTCGTTCAAGATAGTTCCTTTTGAACCCTTCCCTGTCGTCCTGATTACACTTCCCAACCCTCCTGTGCTGGGTTCCTCTGTGGGATAGAGCGCTGTGGTCTCCACTCCTCTCCTCCCCCTTCTCCGCCCTCCTCGTTTCCCGTCCTCGTGCCTTTCCCACTAAGGAGGGGGGGGGGGCTGCGAACTGCGCAACCTTCGTGGGCTCCACTGGGGGGTCCAGCGGAGTCGGGGGCCACGCAGACCCACTGGGGACCTCGCTGCCCCCTGGGTGGCTGCGAACTGCGCACATGACGCCCCTGTCGTGGGCTCCTGGGATGTCCAGCGGGGTCTGGTGCCACGCAGACCCATTAGGGACCTCGCTGCTCCTGGGGAGGCTGCGAACTGCGCGCGTGTCACTACGCAGACTCATTGGCGACCTCGCTGCTCCCTGGGAGGCTGAGAACTGCGCATCCGTCGCCACTCTGGTGGGCTCCTGGGAGGTACGGCGGAGATGAGGGCAGCGCAGATCGTGCATATCTTACGATGGAGCATTCATTCAAGTAGGCCACTGAATCACCGAAGAGCGGTGTTAGACAGTGAAGCGCAACAAAACCTGTCACAGCTGCCACACCAGCCTATAGGTGTGATAAGACGCTGACCCAGCACGGCCCGACAAAGCAGACTGGTAGGGTGTGAACCTACGAACCGACATCACAAGCAGACTCGATAATGGGCAGAATGTTGGACCTACATGCAGCAACACCACAACAGCGTAACCCGAAGAGGAAACGCGTAGACGATCACACGAACGCACACAACACAACACAGCACAGCACAGCACAACACAACAACAGTGTGGGAAATTGTTTCAGAAAAGGATTCGCCGTCAGGGCTCGAGAGGATGATTTTCCTTATTCGGCGGAGCCCAGCAGAAGTTGGCGGAATGCTGGCGGAAGAAAAAAAAAATGTCCCAGGGAATGCCAACGTTTTAATTTTGAGGGGTTTGCAGCAGCTCCTCGTTGGATGGTCTCTCGGGGGCCTCACGAACACTCCTCGGGGGCATCTGAAGGCCTCCTGGGCGAACTTTGGGGGCTTCTTGGGAAGCCACCCGGTACCTCCGCAAACACAGGGCGGTCAAGCACGCTTCTATCAAGAGGCTGGACGGTAGCCTGAGTGGCACGGCTGGCGGGGCGAACGTCATAGCAGATTATTTCGGACAGGCGCAGTGGCAACGACGCTTTGGTGACCCAGCCCCCGCAAGCGCAAAGCCGCTTGGGCCAACGTTACCAATCAGTAGGTCCTCCTTCGCACTGGCTGAATTGAGGCGGGCTTTACGTAAGCTGAAGAATGGGAAGGCGGCGGGGCCCGACGACGTGCCGCCAGAGTGTTGGAAAACAGTGGTAGATGACGTTGCCGCGTGTAACATTCTACTCCGAGTATACCAACAAGGCTGGGAGGAAAAGGCAATTCTGGAGTCATGGAGACGGGCACGAGTGGTTCTTCTGTTCAAAAAAGGAGACGCAGCTCTGCCATCAAACTACAAGCCAATCTCATTATTGCCAATTGGGTACAAAATTTTAGCATCCGTGCTGCACCAAAGGCTGATCGGGGGCGGCGCCGACGCGCGGATGAAGAATTCGCAGTCTGGTTTCCGGCCTGGGCGCGGCACTACCGACGCCCTTATGTTGGTGAGGCGCATGGTAGACGCAGCACAAAACAGCAATTCAGGTGGGATGCAGCTCTTGATGTTGGACTGGCCCAAGGCCTTCGACAGGGTGAAGCCAGACGTGATGTACGCAGCTCTGAAGCGTTTTTGACTGCCCGTGGACATGGTCAGCATGATACAAGCGATATACGCGAAACGGTACTTCGTCGTACACGACCATACAGGCCCATCCACAGAACGGACCCAACAAACAAGCATCGCTCAAGGGTGCCCATTATCTTCTTACCTCTGCATTGCCATGCAAACCATACTTCTGCACGACGTCTTCGACCAAATCGAACTCCGAGAAGAGCCGGAATTCGTGATCACACGATACGTCCTACATGCCGATGATACAGTACTGGTCTCGCAACACCCATGTAATCTTCAACGGATGCTCAACGCCAGTGTCGAGGGGGGCAAGATGTATGGACTGGAACTGAACTGGGACAAAACCGTCCAGATACAAATTTCGACTGGAGTCCGCATTTCTCGCCCGGACGGGGGGGTGTCAGTGAGAGAAGCGGTGTACCTGGGAGGGCTTATCACTTGCGACGGGAAGGTCGCGTCTGAATTGTCACGGCGCATCGGATAAGCGACTGGCGTGTTCAACGAATTACGAAATATGTGGTCTCACTCATCAGTCGGGGTAGCGCGCAAACTCAAGATATACGACTCATGCGTGTTTAGCAATTTGATGTACTCCCTGGACTCCGTATGGCTCCTTCGTGCTGAGCGTGCCCGACTCGATGCTTTCCATTACATGTTTGCGGCGCATGTTGGGTATACCCTGTTCGTACATATCAAAGTCAGCAACCGAGAAGTTCTACGCAGAGCAGCGTCGCAACCACTCTCTGACGTCTTGGCCTCCAGGCAGCCTGCTTTGTATACGAGAACTGCGAACAGCGACGCCACTTCATTGGTCAGGCGTGCGCTGTGCAGTCTGGCCGGCGCCCCGCGAAGCTGGACAACCGAGCGACGGCGAGGTCGCCCGCGGCAGCAGCGGGCCACCGAAGCATTCAGAATGGCCTCCCCGTCCCCATCCTCGCCCTCCCTCCCTCTCCTCCTCCTCTTCCTCCTCCTCCTCCTCCCTTTCCTCCTCGTTCTCGTCCTCGTCGTCCTCCTCCTCCTCCTCTTCCTCCTCCTCCTCCTCCTCCTTCTCCTTCTCTTCCTCCTCCTCCCTTTCCTCGTCCTCCTCTTCCAAGCATTGTCGTCGCGACTGTTCAGTCTCAGGGATCCACGGCAGGAGCCACAGAGTGTGCCCTTGCCGTCCAGCCCGCGCTCCGGATGCATGGCTTTTGCTTGCCTGCTTGCTTGGGGCCACGCTGCTGCCAACCACGGGTCTCCCTCAACGACCAGGCCACGGTTTGGAATGGTTCGGGCCCCGAACCATTCCAAACTAACCCATGGACACCCCCCGAACTTCGGGGGGTGTCGCTGGGCCATCTTGGGCCGTCACGGGGCTCTTTCTGGACCGCTAGCTTTGGTGAGACGTTTGGAGCCTCCTGGGTGGTCTTGGAAGCCCGGAATGCCGAAGAACCGAACACCCCTCGGTCGCAGATTGCCTGTGAATGGCCTCTTTGAGGTCTTCTTTGGGTCGTCTTCGGGCGTCTTGGGGGTGTCTGGGGTTCGCTTGGGGCTCTCGCGGGCAGGATCAGCCTACATCGACTCGTAGCATTGGATCGAATCGGATTGCGCGTCGAATCGGACCGCATCGCACGGAATCAAAGTCGAACAGCATCGGCTGCACCAGCATGCGCAGTAAAGCCATGTGAGCGTCGGGTCGCATCGGATCGGCGGGACGTCGAAATTCGGGGGCGGCC